AGAACAATCCTTATGATGATAGGCCTCAGTCAATAGGATATTCGGCTACCATCAGTGCTCCACACATGGTGAGTCTACTTATCACGTGAGCTACTAACAAACCTGTTTGTGTGCATAATCTGAAGGCATTGATTAAATGTGATGCTTGGTATTTGGCGGTAGCTATCACAGATCATCATTTCGTCCTCATTTTTTCCTTACCTTACTTCTTAACCAAAACAACTTTTACACTCGTGAACGCCGCTTCCTTCGTGTCGTTTTTTTACCCGTGTACCGCATTGTATGTAATGCTAGGTTGACCGATCGCAATTCGACTTAGTAAATATTCCCGTACCCACCCAACAGAATAACGGGCCTGTGGCTCGATCACAAAGCATTCGTCTCAACGACACAAGGTCCCGGGTTGGGATCTCAGGTGTCCCAGATCTGGGGTTGAGCATAGCTGGCTGATGACGAATAGTAAACTAGAAACGGTCATTCCAGTCTTCCTCGTCTTTGACCCAATGAATAGCGCTAGATCGCGTGTACTACGTCTACTTCGCGCACGGCGTCTCTTTTGTCAGCAGTATTGCGCGAACAAAGATTCATTTTCGTTCCTTCACTGAACCACGATAGACTGCCGGAGTGCTATGACGCCAAATATGAAATATACAGGCACATGGAAGGTTATCTCAACTCGAAATTTATCGTTTGCCTCATTCGCATCTTCGTTAGTATTTTGACCGTCCTCTCACCCTCCCTATATTGCCAAATAAAGTCGCCCATCAGCATCGAAAACAACTTACTTTAAGCATTTTTAAATTCTTGCATCGAATGTCTCGGCCTACAGGGACATGTGCATTTACATATAGTCTGAATTCAGTGTGGCGCTCATACCTAACTTCGTTTTTTCGCTGGGGTACTTTCATAGACGCGCCGTCATCGGGTACCACAACCCTCTTGCTATCTATCATTAACATCGTCATTGTCTTTATGTAACGCGTGAAGTTATTTGTTGCCATTTGTAAAACGGACTCTAGTATCTCGTTTTGACGTCTACTGGCTGTTTCGGTTTTGCTAGGCATCCGTCTTCTGCGTTTTAGCATGCATATTCTCTGAGTCTACTGGAGCCGAACCTCAAGCCTGGTGCTCGTGCACTCGACGTGGGATCCGGAAGCGGAATCTTGACAGCCTGTTTTGCTCTT